TATACTTTAAACGACATCAGATATAGACGACTTTTTATACTCCGCAGATCAGCGAAGAAATTTTTACAACAATTTTCCAAATAAAACATAAAATAAGGTAACAATAACTTGATCATCTCTCAACATTCACAAACAGCTGAAGAAACAAGTAAACCTCCTCCAAAAAGAAAGAGCAATATACGTATTATACTACCAGTGACTAGGCAGGCAGCAACTAAGAAAATATAATTTACTTGTGTGAAGTGTAAACCAGTTATCTCAGGTATAAGTTCATAGTATTTACTTCCAAAAAGAGAATGTTGTCAATTAAAAATAAAATATACCTGATTTTCTCTTTAGAAATCCGCCATCAGATACACGGGAGGATTTCTGAACTTCTCGAAAGACAAATGCAAAAGCAAGTTCTGTGAACATGGACAAGAAATTAAGGTCAGAACAAAATTTTGGTGTCATTTATTGGGATGGGGTTTACCCCCACAATATTCTCCCAAAAAAATAAACAGAACAAGTTTTAATTGCAAAATAGGGTGAAGATCAATTTGAAGAAATGTAGCTCTTAACAAAAAGGTAACTACAGAATTCATGTAACGCCAATATACGTAAACATCAGCAAATATAACTTCAACTTGCAGAAATAATTTCACCATGTTGAGGAGAAAAAAAATCGAAACCAAGAAAAACTTGACAAAATGGCAAAACTGCATAAAGATTGGCACACTCTGAAATAGAAGTAGAAATTAGAATAAAACAACTCTACCGTGTTGGGGAGCAAAAGCTATTGAAATAATGTCTCCATGACATAGTTTTGCTTCAGAGCTACTTTTATTCAACTTTTCCCAGTTTAAATATGTCCCATTCGTGCTGCGGAAGACTTAGAAACATCAGAATATTTTCAATCAAAATCCACAATTGGAACCTTTACTGGAGAATATTAACCTAGAATCTTTTAAGAACACAGAAGAGCAGTTGTCTGATTGATGTTCTGTATCTTCAGCAGAGGTCCTCTTCCGAAAAATCTTGCAATGATGAGCACTAACTGCAGGTGAAATGATCTGGAAACGAGCATCATCTACTAGCCGGCCGATGCAGTGTTCATCAGAAGTCAGAAGCATATTCATCCCCTGGTGTATCAACAATTGCATAAGCTAAAACCCCAGAATGCCAAATTGGAAAATGTGCTCCTATCATATGATAAGCACGAGAGCCTATGCTTTTAAGCTTCTCGAATTAAATATACTGACAAGGCAATGTAAAACCAACTATCCTGGCATATACAACAGTTGTAAAAAAAATTACATAGAGGATAGAGAATAACCATCTCTAACTCACTGTTCTCAACAGAACCCTTTTAGTGAAACGCACACACAAAAAGTTGGCACATAAACATCTGACTAACTTGTTCAGATTAACTAACACATGCCTAAATCATTCAATGGCAATGTAGAAAAAATTAACAGTGCATTTGATAAACGGGCCAAAGATTGAAAATCTGTCAAACAACTAATAAATATGTTTGCTACTTCTTTTCCTCTGTATTTTTCACACTACTGATAAAAAATAAAAAATAATAAAAAAATCAAAACCGAACACATTAACCAGAATTCTATTCAAATACAAGAACATGCTACTAATCAAATGCAAGTTCAATGTAATACTAATTCTCAACCTATAGTGTTCAAACTCAAAGGTCAGATTTGAATTGAAAGTATTCTTACTACCAATTTTAAGGACTGAATCAAAAATCAAAACATACGACTGAAGCAAATATATATATAAAGCATTTAAGGCGTAGGTAAACCTGTTGCCGCTTGCGTGCCTTGTCAGATATCGCGGTCAGAACGCCCCAAACATCGGGATCGGAATAGTGAAGCGGCTGGGCGGCGGTTTTCGCGGCCACTGACGATATAAAATCTTCTGCACCGTGCGCATTTCTAGAATTGGTGTCGTTATTGTGGCTGATGCAGCCATTTCTGGGTTCATTCTGAGCGGAATTAGGGCTCGGGTTGAGTTTCGCGGCCAGCGGAGTCGTCGGATTCTCGTCTTCCTTTGCCATTTTGTGTGTGAAACTGGTTTGGCTTATGGCGCGGATTTTAAAAAACCCTAGTTTTGTGCGCTGGATCTTGGTGTACTGGGTTTTAGCGTATGGGGGAAGCTGAGGCAATGTGTCGTTTTCATTTTGTTTCCACTTCACTTTTAGATTCTATTTAAAAAATATTGGCTGTGTTTGGTAAGTTTTTGGGCTTCCATTTCCATTTTATTTTGGGGAAAGATGTTTTGGGAGAAAAATTTAAAAATTAAATAAAGTTTGTTTGTGTTTTGGGAGGAGACAATTTGTACTATAGCAAGTCAAATCATGTCTGAAAGGTGTTGGAAAAAGGTATTTTGGAAGAAGAATTTAAAAGATAAACTGATTTGATTTTGTATTTTAGTGAAGACAATTTTCACTCTAGCGGTCAAATCATGTTTGTTAGAGAGAGAAATATTTGAATTTATTTTGGGGAAAGTTTTTGAAAATAGTGTAAAAAGATAATTTTCATTTTGGGGAAAGGGTGGAAATAATTTGAAAACGGTAACAAACATAGCCATTATTTTTCTTCAATATATTTTTATACATTATTTAACTAAAATGTTAAATATCGTCTTGACTTCAAACGTAATTTTGATCGTCTTCAAGTCTGGTCTTGGTAAAATTGAAATACATAACTTTTAGTCTTTTGTGTTGTTTTTCTAATTCAAGTTGAATTGATTAAATTTGATGTCGTGATAAAATTATGCATGAACGAATAATATTTTAATATATTATTTCTTCAACAGTAATTTACATTTTAAATTTTCGGTAACTCAAAACATTAAAAGTCTTTGTTGATTCATATATTTATCATGTGACATCCAATCCTTTTGATTCATATATTTCTCTCAGTGTTTTGAATTTTGCCAAATTCAAATTACAAATAGTCAAAATCACGTTTTAAGTCCAAATAATAAATCCAATATTAAAACGACATTTATCACCTCCCTGATTTAATTGCTACAATAATTTTTATTTCCTCCAAATATAAACAAATACTATTATCATTCCCAAATTCTTCTCCCAAAACAAATTAAATAACCCCAAATTGCTTCCATATATGAAAACAAGCCCCAATCCATTGCCTATGTTTTTAATCACGCAGCAGCTCAATAAAACCAAATTAGAGACAATATTATGAAACCATCTATCCTGGTAGCGAACTCGTTTATGAACATGGTTTGCGTATTTTCCGAACACTGAAATAATGTAAGTCACTGATAATATCTCACTTGTCTAAAACGAAAAACTCAGATAGTATGCCATCAACAACCACCCATCACGAATCGGGCTTAAGTCGTAATTTGATGTCACGTTTTTAGTTTTAGATGTACTGATGAAATTAAATACATCAACAGCTGTTTGACTAGGCACAAGTTTGTACTATTGTTAGCTGCAATTTTTTAACCGGCAAGAGGGTTAGCATGGATTGTCACACGGTTGACCCTGATCTCCATAAGAGGTCTATCGCCCGGTCCTGTTTGAGCCTGGCAAATTGCAAATAATATTCTTGGCATCATGAACAAATTAAATTTAAAAAAAGAATAAAAATTGAATAAATCCTCGATTTTACCTTTTCCATAATATCAAGGATTTCGAACCCATGGATCACTTTGCCGAAGATGGTATATTGCCCATTAAGATGAGGCTGTTTGCCGTAAGCAATGAAAAACTGGCTTCCATTAGTATTGGGCCCACTATTAGCCATCGATAGCATACCTCTAGCATTGTGCTGGGTTCGAAGTTTAGAAATACAAAATTATAAGAAAATCAAATATACAAATACAAGTAGGTATGCATCTCATATAATTAACTTCGTGTTCTTTAGAAATAAAATATTCAATTTTTAGGTGTTACGTGTTTTATGTCTCCAGATAATAGCGCATGAGGTAGTTACAAACAGGAAACTCTTTCCTAGTGTTAAGTCTAATAAACATCTCCAGCTTTAACGAACTAACAAAAACCACAGTCAAGTAGAACAAGTCACACTATCATCATAGTTTAATCCAACCGTGGTTAAACAATGAAAATGAAGAGTAAAGGCTCTGGTTTTCTATTATGCAAGTGCTCTTTCTTGAAGGGAAGAGATGAACGAGAAGCAATTATTCACGGATCCAGAGACCATCATATATATAATAGGGGGAGCATAAATTGAGGAGAAAAAAAAAAGTCGGAAACCGTAATTTATGAAGTCCGCGTGGAAGTTACCTTGAGAGACTCTCTTATCTCATCATTAAACTTTTTGCCCCATATACTCGTCCCGCCTTTGCCAGTATTAGTCGGATCACCACCTTGTATCATGAAACCCTTAATATTTCTATGAAATATAGTTCCGTCATAGTAGCCACTCGCACACAGTGCCAAAAAGTTCTGCAAACACAATTATAGCAGTTCAAGACGATTAATAATGTTACAGAATACAACGATTCTTGCTCTTGAAAAATAGTCCAATGCAGTTCAAATAAGTATATGATCAGTGAACTGTAAAAGAGCTTCCATAAAAGTGTCTAAAATGTAGGATAATACGGAATCGAGTGTGTTATAAATTCACGATATTGCATACATCTGCAGCAGAATATATATACTAGAGCATCCTTTCTAACGCTTGTTCACCGATGCAAAACCTTAAAACTCTAACCAGGATGTCACAAAAAAAATAAACACAACTAAAGTTGTCATACTACAGTCGAGCTAAAACATAACGGAAACAAGAGAGTACAGATAACAAACCAACAGATTAATCAGTCCTTAATTTAATACTCAAAAACACTGTAATACGATTAGGGTTCATGCCAAAACAAGTACTTACTACATAAAATTCAGTAAATAATTCAGCAAAAAATCCAGAACATACCACATCATCGTTCAGCCCTAAATTTCATAAGCACAAAAAAATTTAAGTGCTCACACCTTTCACTCAATAATTAACGCCGTCTAATTTTCCTCAATCTCACCATTGTCAGAATTAAAAAAAATATGTTTAATAAGAAAATTAAGAAGCAACTACGAAGCACGTACTTCAGCAGTCTTGGGGACCTCGTCGCAGAAGATTTCGCACTTGATGTCACCCAAATTCGTGTGAAGCGTAACTGCCTGAAAATTGGGGGGAAAATTTAAAGTATATATTCGCGGAGTAATGGATTATACTAAACCAACCGAATGCGCGTAAACTGTTCGATGAAATTCCTCAGAGAAGAAAACATGGCAGGAGAAATTGACACTTACCATTTGTTCTGAAATAAACAAGAGTTTACGAGAACTCAAATTGAAATCGAAGCAGCTCTAATGGTGGAAGTGATTTTAGTACTGTCAAAAGTATGGAATTTTTTCAGCGTTTTCCTGTACTTTTGAAGCTAATAATCGCCGAGTTTGCTATACTTCGCTTCTACTGTTCTACTGTTCTACATACCTCTAAACAATAGGTAAATACCATAAATACCCCTACTACAATTTATAATCTCTAAATTGTCCTTTAAATAATATTCTCTTTTTTTAGGTGCTTAAAAAAAAGAGAGAATCTTGAGAAATCCACAAAAGTGATTAGGAATAGAATTACATAGTTACAATATAATGGACATTGTTATTAGACTATTTTTCGAAGATTTAAAATTTTGTTGTGTTCGGTTGATCATCGACAATTAACTCGAACAAGCTTTAACTAAATCAAACATAAGAGTCGAAATCGAACAGTTTGCTTGTTTAATCATCGTATGTATATATTTATAACTTTTTAATACAAATCGATTCGAATAGAAATTTATGTCCTTTTGAAGGGAAATATGTTCGATATTTTTCATTATATTAATTAATCGAGCTTTGACCTCAAAATAGTTTAATGTCGAACTCGAACAGTTTGCTTGTTTAATCATCGTATTTATATATTTATAACTTTTTAATACGAAACGAGTGAAAAGTTCAAACAGAAATTTAAATCCTTTTAAATGAAAATATGTTCGATAACTTTTCATTATATTAACGAATCGAGCTTCGACCGATTCTTTTAACCGTAAATCTCAAAATAGTGTATTGCATAACTTTTGATTTGATTTATAACCGTCACCACTCATCCAACACGAGAGCGTAACGAACTATTTCCTTAATTATTTCAAAAGTAGCTATCAAAAGAAAAAAGTTATTCAACATCAAAACAAATTTTCAGTGATCTTAAAAAAAAAAAAAAACAAATCTCAGTGTATAAAAACTGTAAACCAAAATCCATATTAGCATAATACTGAAAATGCAAGAGAAGACAATCGAGCTACAACGATGTCGAGTTTCTCCGGCGGAGGAGCCAACCGCCACGATGACGTCACTCCCGCTAACGTTTTTCGATATGGAGTGGATAAACTTCCATCCCCTCCGGCGAGTCTTCTTCTACGGTTTCCCCTGTTCACACACACATTTCGTCGACACGATAATCCCGCAGATGACGAAATCTCTCTCACTAACTCTCAAACACTATTTCCCCCTCGCCGGAAATTTAATCTACCCTCTGAATTCTTCGGACGCGCTGCCGGTTCTCCGCTACAGGCCCGGCGACTCGGTTCCGTTGACGTTCTCTGAATCCGTTCGAGTTTCCGATTTCGATTACCTCTCAGGTCATCAATCCAGGGAAGCTGATGATTTCTACGCTTATGCCCCCCACCTGCTCGATAAAATTACTGAACCAGATTCGGATGACATAATAATCCCACTTCTATCGCTCCAGGTGACACTTTTTCCAGAAACAGGCATTTGTATCGGAATCGCCTGCAATCACGTTGCAACTGATGCAAGAAGCACTTTCGATTTCATGAAAGCATGGGCCTCGATCACGAAACTTGGTGGCAGTGATTCGTCTTTCGCCGGACCATCTCTTGATAGATCCCTAATCAAAGATCCACACGGATTGTCGATCAAGAAATGGAACAATATAAAGAAGAACAAAATCGAGCCTCCACTTTCACGGATCCCGATTCCCACTAACCGAGCCCGCTTCACTTTCGTTTTATCCCACAAAGACATCGAGAAACTACGGGCTTTTGTTCTCGAGAAACGGCCTAATCTCGTTCATTTATCAGCCTTCACACTGGCTAGCTCGCTCGCATGGACTTGCATGGTGAAATCGGAAAACTCCATTGCTTGCATTGACGAAGACGAATCTCTGTATTTTGCGTTTCTTGCCGATGCAAGACTTCGATGCAACCCACCATTACCGGAGGGTTATTTCGGTAATTGTTTGGCTTCAGGTTTTATTGTAGAATCGAGAAACGGGGATTTGAGAGGGGAAAATGGATTCTTGATTGGAGTCGAGAAGATTGGGGAGCTCATTAGGAGAAAGGCGAACGATAAAGATGAGATCTTTGTAGGTGTCGAGAAGTGGTGGGAGAATTACGCGGGGTTGGCCGGAAAACGGGTTATCGGGGTGGCAGAGTCATCGAAGATTGACGTGTACGATGCTGATTTCGGGTGGGGGAGGCCTAAGAAATTCGAGTTTTTGTCTATTGATGAAGATGGATATTCGATGTCTGTTGTTAAAAGCAGGGAGTTTGTGGGGGGTTTGGAGATTGGCTTGTCTTTGCCTGTGGTGTTGATGGATGCATTTGCTGGATTCTTTGCTGATGCTCTGAAGAAATGATTAAATTTTCTTTTATTTTTAATTTGTTCTTTTATATTCTCCTAGAGTTTTGAGGGTTTATTGCAATTAGCACCCCATGTATTTACACTAATTATCAAGAAACTACTCTTGTTATAAATATTAGCAAAAATTTTCCTATGATTCGCAAACTACCCCTAAAACACACTGTTTAGGAGGTTGCGTGCTAAAAAATGCATTATAGGGGTGTTTTTGCCAATATTTACCATACAAGGAGTTTTTTAGCAATTCCTTATAATATAGGGGTGTTAAATGCAATAATTCCGGAGTTTTAATGTGTGTGGATTGTTCATGTATCAATGGAGTTTATTAGTGATTAGTAAAGAAGTTGGCCTTCTACAAGTCACGCTCAAAGAAAAGGCTATTTTGTCTCTTTCGATACATATCCGAAGAAAAATTCGTAACAAATTGCACTCAACCTTTATTGAATATTTGTGGCCTTTCAACGGTAATCATATCATGTTTGGTAACGAATACGAAATCGATCTAACGTGTTTTGTCGACCTTTTGTTATTGAGAATTTGTGGCCCTCCTACGTTAATCATATTTGTAGAGACTTTTGTCCAAAGGTTCTCTCTCTGATAGAAGATTGTAAACTTGTGTTATCTAAAATATAATATAAGATCTACACTCTCGTATAATAGCTTGCAAATCATACTCGGGTCCGCTACCTTAACAGGCGGTTGAGTTACTATGATTTGTTGAGTTACCATGATTTACATTCCTCCATCAATCCTTGTCGGGCCAAGGGATGGGGCCCTGGGGGCGAGGAATTTCGCCTTTTTGTGCAAGCTTGCAAATCATACGAAATATCTAAACCACACTAGGCTAATCATGTGTGATAAGCTCGACCTAGCGACCATTATCAAAAAAATTCGAATATGAATTAATTTACAAATGATCACTTGCTTCAGCCACTGGATCATCATTTACGTGACTAAATTAATAATATTTAATTAGACACATTTTAGGTTGTTGTCAAATTTCGACCGATTGGCTAGTGTCGAAATTTTAGTGAATGAAATTGGTGGGCGGTCAATTCTTCTTGAGCCCACCATGTTCAACCATTTCAAGCAACGGTACAAATACAAATATACAAATATACAATTATTCAAAGTCAGATATTTGAATATCGTTGGACTAAATTTTCCGAGTCGAAAATAATTTTTTTAATTATTTATTACCCTTTTCAATAAATATTTCATATAAATTTATGTAATTTCACAACAAATATTAATAAAAATTCAATTTTTTTTTTCTAAAGT